GTGCAGTTCTCCTACTGTTGTGTCTGCAGCAATTGTTGTTACGAATCTGTTGTACGTTCTAATTTCACCTCATTACATACTTCTTTTCTGAAGGCGTTTTATGTGCGAAAGTGGAGCACCCTGTTTGAGAACTGCAGAAGTGAGATTGAATGAATAGCTCAATCCCTGCTTCGGTCGTTTTCCGGTAGATGACGCTACTTGTGCACATAAAACGCCTTCAGAGAGTCGAGTATGTAATGCGCGGAAATCAGCACGCACAACTTACTCGCAACGACAATTGCTGCAGACGCAGCGGAAGGCGAATTGTTAAGTTTAAAAAAAAAAGAATCTAATGGGTAGTTTGCATGCAACGAAAGGGTGTGTATTCGACCGACATGAATCGAACGAAAAATTAGAACGTGAACCGATCAAATCCGATTCAATGGACAAATAATTTAAAAAAGCAGATCAAAATTAGTAGAAAACTTGCGTTTAGTACGAACATTTTAAATGCCGATATCTCAAACTTAAGATCAGCCAATGTTTCGATTTTTTGCGATTTTAAGTCCGCATATACCATAGACAGCACTGCGGCACCCCCTGCAAACAGTTTTTGGGTACATTTTTGTCGCATTTTTTCCCCTTTCTTTCTTTCTTTCTTTCTTGCTTCAAGACCACTGTGTTAAATGGCATGTTGTGATTGGTCGGCTATGCCTTATCGCTGCTTTGTCGCGCCTTGTCAGGTATTATTCACGACAAGCTATACGCTTCCCTTGAGTTTCCGACAGTACGTCGTGAATTCCACCTTACAAAGCACGAAAAAGCAGTGATAAGATATAGCCGACCAATCACGTTTCGCCATTTAACGTATGACGTATATCTCTGCCCTACGAACACAAAATTGCAGTAATCAGCCCGCTGACTGTTCTGCCGTGCTAAGGAAGAATGTCATATGAACATTTGAGACTTGCCAAATTTCCTTGGATAAAATGTTTATTTCTGAGGAAATATTATGAATTTTTTTTCCATGAAACTTTCAGACTCTTTAGACCAAATTTCGAACAAAATTATCTGAGAAATCGGCGGGAAAATATCCAAAAATCGAAAAAATCGAAATCTGGAAATCGAGGTTGCCGAAGAGGGTCCTTGATTGGGTTCCTCCTGGGAGTAGACGCAGAGGGCGCCCAATGAAAGGTTGGAGGGAGGGGATTGAAGCTGAAATGTTAAGGTGCTCAATTCCCCAAGATTTGTGGTTTGAAAGAGAGCAGTGGAGGTTAGGAGTCGTAGAGCGCGAGGAGATGCTGTAAAGCGACTTATATGTATGTATGTATGTATTTATCAAAAATGTTTCCTGAAAATTAGTAATTTGCAGAGAAAATTCGGCAACGCCTGAAGGCTCATACGGCGTTTCTCCTCAACACGGCAGTGTTCCCTTGGTATGTTTTCCATGGCTCAGTCGCTCAGGTTATAGGAAGTCCATATGTCGAGCCTTTTAGCGTGAAGCTGGTGTAGGAGCACCCTTAATATACCCCCAACACATATATCCTAACTCCTTTTCTTATCCATCCCCCCCCCCCAAAAAAAAAAATCCGGGGGTTCATCAGTAAAATGAATTTTGCGACTTGATCCTTGAAATCGGTAGCCTGACATTCAATGTAACGGAGAATGTGGTGTTCTCCCGAGCAACAATAATGTTTAAATGCGCGAGGCAGAACTGCATCAACGTAAAGACTTAGTAAATGTTGCAGATTTCTAAGTTCTCTCGAAAGACTTGGAGATAGCTCAAGGCGAAAATCAATAGCCTCGTCTCTCGGGTTATGATGCATTCCATTCGCGACTGAAGTTGTTCCACTCGGAATGAACGAATGAGCCTCGCTTTGCCTCGCGCTATTGCACCGCTTACCTCCACTCCTTTGAGGCGCCTGCATTTTACCGAGCTGCAACGAACATTACGCCCCGAGTCCTTGATTCCATTATCGTCTCCGTAATTTGCTCGCATGCTCATTGTGATCGGAAGTGGATGGAGCGAGGGTTAAAACTCGAGAGGATCAAATTGATTTTCTCTCCGAAAATTGTTCAATATTCCGTTTTTCATTATTTTTCCTCTCTTTTTAAAGGAAAATTAAGAAGAAATTTTTTGAAATGGACTAGTCAGAGCTTGTGTAAGTGCACTAGAAGAAAAAAGAAAAAAAAAAAAAAAAAAAAAAAAAAAAAAAAAAAAAAAAAAAAAAAAAAAAAAAAACCACATTGGATCTAGAGTCCAGACTCTTAAAAACATCGACAAGAAAAAATACTCTTGATTCAATCAGATTTAAGCTTAAATCAAGAACCAAGCCTCTTAATTTGAGCGGATTTCCTTTTGATTTAAGCCTACTTCTGATTGAATCGAGAGTCCTTTTTCTTGTCAATGTTTTAAAGAGTCTGGACTCTAGATCCAATGTGTTTTTTTTCCAGTGTGCCAAAACTCCCAGCGTCTTAAATATAAACGCGACTCCTTTGACTGACTAATTACTTAACTAACTAACTAAATAACTAACGGTAACTAAATAAGTAACTAACCAGCCTAACTACATTCTGTTTGCTTAACTTCCACTTACGTGTTATTTCCTCACGAGGAAACTTGGCAAAATGGTGCCCAGAAATTCTGAAACCTGCATCCGGAATGATTGGCAAATAATATCTCCCGATACCCGAAAACCCTCCCTTCAAATAGAAGTTAAACTAGAACCTAAAGTTTTCCTGATTATTATTATGCTCTGGCTTATATGCCACTGAAGTATGGCACAACTACACGGGCATAGCCGCATGACCCTCCAATTGTAAATTGAACGGTGTCCTTTTTTTTACTTTAAAAAAAAAGATGAAATATTTTAAAATCTACAAATATTTATAAATATTTGAGCTCCAATTATGGAAGATTAAACCTTTTCCCAAAAATTCCATTAGAAAGAAAAGGGAAAAAAAGGAATCTTTAAACCGACCTGATTTAAAGTTTTTCGGGGGTTTCTGTGAAAAAATACTCCCTAATCTCCTGTCTTACTACTGGCACCAACAAGTCTAATTTAGTTCCTCTGCATCAAACTTATTTTTCTTATGATTTCTCTCATCCGTCGATTTTACGCTGAAATTATTTGTGGCAGTGCGTGTTCCGAGAATTGGACTATTTGCATGATAGAAAGTGCGACCAAGGTTTGATCCTAATTGAATGGCACAGTAGGAGTTTTCATAGAAATTTTGTGGAAGTGGACTCAATTCGACCAGCGGTCAACGGTAAAGCACGGGAGAAGAGCGTTAATAGTTATTCCCTAAAATTGTAGTGCTACCCCAATTTGCTGGATGATACAGTGGCAGTACCGCAACTTTTCTGTAGTAACCTAATTTATCGGGTAGTTACCATTTTACTTGAGCTTCCGTTAAAAATAATCGTGTCTTTTGAGCTCTTTGATCGGAAGGCTTTTAATCCTCGTCCATCCACTATGAAGAGAAAGAAAGACGAATTACAGATATCTGTACATGTTTGCATATTCGTCCTTGTTCAGAAGTGAGATGGGGCTTTGACTCAAGTCATGTCTTGATTGATAGTGAGTCGGAATTTATAGACAAATCCCTAGACAATGAAGAGACAAAAGGAGTATGGAGGGATCCTATTGGTGGAAGCGGGTGGTTGCAATGGCCAAATAGGTTAGATAAGACTTGCGAACGGCAACCCACGAGAGCTTCTACAGTTCGTCCATTATTTTTTCAGTCCATAGGAACCAACCATTTCAACCAATAGGATCGCTCGATACTCCCAATGTCTTCTTTATCCATCTCTTTGTCCATCAATTTCAACAATCAGCCTGCAAGTGAAAATTCTGATCCAATAGTGGCTCAACTTAGTGTACACTGGAAAAAAAAATACATTGGATCTAGAGTCCAGACTCTTGAAAACATTGACAAGAAAAAATACTCTTGATTCAATCGGATTTTTGCTTGAATCAAAACGAAATCCTCTTAAATTAAGAGGCTTCGTTTTTTATTTAAACTAGATTCTGATTGAATCAAGAGTACTATTTCTCGTCGATATTTTTACGAGTCTGGACTCTAGATCCAATGAGTGTGTGTTATTTTTCCAGTGTAGTATTCATGCGTTTTGCAGAGATCAGCTGGAAAGAGGTCGGATGAAAAATGTGATGATGAGGGGTTGAATGTTGTGATGGGTGAGTGAAGTGTGTTGACAGTCGAGACGCTAAGTGATGCCGAGAGGTAGGTCGAGGGCCCCGAGACGTGACTTTTACACAAGAAGCAGCCGTAATGCTGCCAAATGAGTTTCCTCCTTTCTATACCAAAAAAGAGAAAGAAAGGGTAGCATTATTATCCGCAATAGTCCTTGCGCCATACGCTAGGGGGTGCGTATATCAATGATGAAACTGCAGAAATGCGTATCTCGGTTCGCAGCGTTGCAGACTTTCTGTCATACTTCATTTTCTTTAAGAAAAACTTTCAAACGTAATTTTTTGAAAATTTCAGTGATTTTTATTCTCTGTATGAAGAACATTTTTTAAAAATGTCAAGCCATGATGTTGGTTTGGCCTCCTTTTGAAAAATCAAATAGAAACAAAGATTTTTAAACGCAGCAACTGAGTTACTCATTTATGCAGTTTCACCGTCAATATTCCCTTCATACCCCCCCCCCCAAAAAAAAAAAAATCATAATATTTAATGCCTTATATTCATAACTCCTGCTGCACTGGAAAAAAAAAACGCTTGGATCTAGAGTCCAGACTCTTGAAAACAATGAGAAGAAAAAATACTCTTGATTCAATCGGATTTTTGCTTGAATCAATAGGAAATCCGCTTGATTTAAGTAAAAATCCGATTGAATCAAGAGTATTTTTTCTTCTCATTGTTTTTAAGAGTCTGGACTCTAGATCCAAACCACTTTTTTTTTCAGCGTGGTTAACAAATGATAACCATGCGGTTGTCATTTGTATGTCATTGCAGTATGTCATATTAATGATTTGTTCAATCTTCTGTTTCAGGATTGATTGCTGCGAGCCTCTGATAAGGTACGGTTTTTTTAAAATTTTCTGAATGGACTTATTTTATGATCTGAACTGTAGGGAATTTTTACCGATATACGCCAAGGGAATCAAGGAAATGTAAGGAATTTCATTTATATTTTATGGCACCTCTATCGATGTATTAGCGAATCGTTCTCCAACGTTTACCAATATTTATTTTTTTTATTTATTTTTTGGTAGAGAGCTGCTTTATTTTCAAGTTGAGGACCTAAACGAAAAGAGCACGGACATGGAGCTCTTTGGGCCGACAAGAGCCAACCTTTAAAAACGGAAAATGTCACTGCCAATATTCAGATTCCAATATCAAGGAAAATGGCTGGAAATAAGGAAATATACATGGAAAATGGCTAAAAATGTTCCTAAATGGCCGTTCTTGCGCACAAAAATGAGTAAATTAAGCAACAACTAAATCAGTACGTGCTTTACCAACGACGGATCGTAAGAATGTTAATGCAATCTTTTTGGCTAATTTGAATTCATAGATTGGCTGTCCTTCTGGGCCTCAAGACCTTCATGACCTAACCTCAAAATTACCGACATGTCCGTACTCTCTCCGTATAGGTATACTAACGATTCCAACGTTAAAACGTTGGAAAGCGTTCACCGTAGCACCTCGTCAATATGTAAAAGTGATTTTGCGCGGACGGAAGAGAGCGCTGCAAGACGCTGTTGAACTAAACGTGGAGCGTAACCTAGGAAACATGCATCTACATAAGAGATTACTTGTCTACATAGAGTAAAATATAGGGGTTATTAGTGAAGGGGTACTTTGTACCCCAACAAGTTTTTTAGATCTCCGACGACTAAAAATTTGAACGATCCTTGAAAGAGTCATTAAATAAAAGTACGTTGCAGAGTTTTAAAACATAAAGATATTAATTTCTCAAAGACAAGCCTGCAGGCATTACATGAAGTGGACAAAATAGGAGAATAAAGGTAGAAATGGTACATAAAAAGAATTGAGAAAGTAAGTATTGTTTCCCGCCACGAAAAAAGGCGCCGATTCTCATGCAGCAGCGCCCGGCCTTTACCAATGGATACATTAGTAACATACCCAATGCCAAACGACGGGAAAGAGCGTACACTACCAACGTGGTGAACGCTCAAAACCAAGATAAAGTTTGCCTAGATGTCGAGGATAGTCGTTTTGGTTTGTTAGAGAGAGGTTGTTCCTAGGCTTGGCACAAAGCCGGAATCAGGCTCAGATGTCTCATTTCGCCTTCAATTTTGATGATACTTCAAGCACATCCATAAAGCACGAATAGTCGTATCAAAGAAACGTACCGAGCGGGCCTTTACCAATGGATACATTAGTAACATACCCGCTGCAAAACGACGGGGAAGAGCGAATACTACTAACGTGGTGAACGCTCAAAACCAAGATAAAGTTTGCCTAGATGTCGAGGATAGTCGTTCTGGTTTGTTAGAAAAAGGTTGTTCCCAGGCTTGGGACAAAGCCGGAATCAGGCCCTGATGCCTCATTTCGCCTTCAATTTTGATGATACTTCAAGCACATCCATAAAGCACGAATAGTATCAAAGAAACGTACCGAGCGGGCCTTTACCAATGGATGCATTAGTAACATACCCGCTGCAAAACGACGGGAAAGAGCGTACACTACTAACGTGGCGAAGGCTCAAAGTGCGTGGAGGAGGACGGGGCGCGGGAGTGTGGAAGTGACGTTAAAAATCGGGAGGGAAATTGAAGAGGGAATTAAGGAGCATCAAAGGGGAAGGATCCCAACGACGCGAGTGACGCGACTCGACGCGACGACAGGGGAATTAGCTCCCAAGCCCGGGTCCCGTCCGGAGCCGAAAGTGATGCCACCCTCCAACTCCGAACCCCCAGATCGCGGTTTTCCCGCGCTCAAAGCGGACTTAAACATCGCTGATCGTTAACTCGTTAAGCTCGCCTCTCTTATTCCCTTTTTTGCCAGACGCCGGCTTAATTGCGCCCCCGTCTCCTCTGACCCATCTCAACCTCCTCTCGAGCCCTCCTCTCCGTCTACCCCCGTGTTTTCTGGAGCTCCTGGGGAAATGGAAGTATGCCCTCGCGGCGGAGGAGCGACGACTTGGGGAATGCGCCCGCCGCCCGGCTCCCGTGACGTATATCGATTTCTTCGTGAGCCCTGTTCTCCGCTTAGGTATATGTTTTTTGGGGCTCGTGTTGAAGCAGGGATACGCCCCTGCTTTGAAGGAGCGACGGGTTGTGGCTGTCTCCTTTGCCCCTATCGGCCCCTTTATTATCCCGCCAATGCCTGATAATGTTTCACACGCGCTTTGTCAAGTTTGAACTAGTTGCGCGGGACAACCGAACGTAATGGACTGATTTACACGGAGAAAAAAACCTCGTGCGTGGGACCCGAAGTTTAGGTTATATGGATCTCTGAAGATCTCAGATTGAGCATCTGAACACTTTAGATCTAGCTATCGAGGTTCGGATCACACATCTGAAACTTCAGTTCTTACATCTGAAGTACCTCAGGTGTGAGAACCGAAGTTTTTCGGATGTGAAAACCGAAGTACTTCAGATGTAAGAACTGAAGTTTCAGGTGTGTGATCCGAACCTCGACATCTAGACCTGAAGTGTGTGTTCGGATGGTCAATCTGAAAACTTCAGAGATCTATTTGACCTAAACTTCGGGTCCTACGCCCGAGGTTTTTTTCTCCGTGTAGTGACCTCGTCATTCGATATATTGTCAAACCCTTGGTTTCTGATTCGCGTCCATTCGCACCCTTTTTGCCATGGTGGTAAAATGCGTCCAAGTGTTTCTTACAATCGGAAGTTGTCGTGTTTAATGAGTGTTTAATTAATTTACGACTGGTCGATGACTAAATTTTAGTAAACTAACACAATTTACTCATGAAGAATTTCTACATGAAGTTACGTTAGGTTTTTTGGTTTGAATCGTGTGCTCGACATTATATCGAATGACGTAGTCACTAAGCCAATCGATATGCTGATTTAGTGGCTATGTCATCGATCAATTTTAAAGAAAGGCATAACCTTGTCTCTAATTCGCGTCCCTCGCGGCATGCACTGGAAAAAAACACATTGTATCTAGAGTCCAGACTCTTGAAAACGTTGACAAGAAATCGGATTTTTGCTTGAATCAAAACGAAATCCGCTTAAATTAAGAGTCTTGGTTCTTGATTTAAGCTAGATTCTGATTGAATCAAGAGTACTTTTTCTTGTCGATGTTTTTAAGAGTCTGGACTCTAGATCCAATGTGTTCTTTTTCCAGTGTGGTGATAAAATGCGCCCGACGTCTGGTCAGATAATTGTAAGTTAGCATTTGTTAACTTTTTGTTTGTTAACGACCAGGATGCAGTTGTCCAAAAGCCATCGAGGATTAACCGCGGCTCGACCTGTCATTCCTGAAATGCCAACTCACCCTGCTGCTGGCTAGGTTCTAACATTTATAGCAACTTCAAATGCACTTCATCTATAATCGGGAAGTGAGTGCTTGAATAATAATCATTACATATGATACGCTAAAGTTGAAGAGCGCTTAGTGTTTGGAGCCCAAATCATGTCTCTCTTAAAATACCTCGGGCTGAAATCCTCGCTCAATGTCCTTATTTGACGCAAAGTCAACCAGGCAGCTGAACTAACTTTAAGGCAAAACCTGCAGCATCTCCTGTAAATGAAGGCGCTTCAAGCCGCTGCTATTATGTCCCTGTGGGGATTTCGTAGAATTCAATCGTGATCTTGGCGAGTTGAGTTGAGTTTAGGTTAGCCAAGCATCTTTACGCTGACTGGTTAAGAATTGAGTATTTTAAATGAAATTGAAGGCACTTTTTGTCTAAACGATTTCTATCTTGCAAGTCTCTCCCATGGAATATTGGATTTGGTGACCGGAGCAGAGGTGCAAAAAACGCCACTCGGCCGATCAGGGGTTTTTCCCACGCTGTCTTTCGAAAAATGTCCTCCCTTTCCCTAATTTTTCAAAGTGATAATTTGTTTTTCTTTCTTGCTCTTCTTTTTTGAAAATTTGCTTGAAACGCCATTTCAAAAGGTCGGTGAATCGTCGGTATTTTTTTCAAACAGAAATCTTCTCCGTGTGGTTTTGAACAAATTTTTTTTCAAAAAGGGTGAAGCTTTTGTACCCCTGAACCAAACTGAGATATGAGTCCTTTGTAATCTTGACTTCATCAGTGTGTTTTTCTCATTTGGGTCGCAACTCCTCCGACCTGGTCAAAAAAGTTGACCAAACTCTTTATGTCGGTGTGGTTTTGGAAAAAAAATTTCCTCGCTTCCCCAAAAATTTTCTCTTAAAGGGTGCAGCTTTTGCACCCCTGCCCGATTATTGAAATCTCGTGTTTGTCTGGCGGGCACAGGTTAAACGGCGGAGCGTGATTGGTCCGCTGTGTCTTATCGCTGCTTTGTCGTGCCTTTGGCAGGTGTAATACACGACATACTCACGGAAACTACAGAGGTGCCTATAGCTTGTCGTGAATTCCATCTGCACGGAGAAAAAAACCTCGTGCGTGGGACCCGAAGTTTAGGTCGTATGGATCTCTGAAGTTTTCGGATTGAGCATCTGAGCACCTAAGGTCTAGCTGTCGAGGTTCGGATCACACATTTGAAACTTCAGTTCTTACATCTGAAGTACTTCAGATGTGAGAACCGAAGTTTTTCGGATGTGAGAACCGAAGTTTTTCGGATGTGAAAACCGAGGTACTTTCAGATTTAAGAACCGGTGTTTCAGATGTGTGATCCAAACCTCAGCAGCTGGACCTAAAGTGTTCAGATGCTCAATCTGAAAACTTCAGAGATCCATTTGACCTAAACTTCGGGTCCCACGCACGAAGTTATTTTCTCCGTGTGACAAAGGCCCGGCAAAGCAGCGATAAGACATAGCCGGCCAATCACGATCCGCCGTTTAACCTATGTCCGCCCGACAGACACAAAATTTCAATAATCGGTCCGCAGGACCAAACTGGGATGGGTCATTTATAGTCCATGACTTCATCTGTGCGTTT